ATGGAATGAGGGAAAAGGGGAGTTGTAAGGGGTCTTAGGAGGGCTCTGTAAATCACGGGAAAAGCTTCAGTGCTCAGTAAATGTAGGGCAATAAGGAAGAAGGGTGGGGGATTGAGAAAGGGAGGAGGTGGCAGGCATCAAGGTCCTCTGGGTCCGGCCAGGCACTCCCAGCTCCAGCCCGTCCCCTGGCCCCTCCCCGCTGCCGGCCAGAGTCATACATGTGTTTTCCTGTTTTCCGTTTTGGTCCCCGTCACCCTCTGCCTTTTCTGCTTCTCAGAGTCAACAGCTGCTGCAGCAAGAGCCATACCTCTGGTTCCCCCAACTAGCACCTTCCCCTCCCCGCTGGTAGCCCCTCCTCCCCGTACCTGCCCAGAGGTCACAGGACAGGTAAGAGGTGGGAGAGGAGGGACAGTGGGCTAGAGGGGAAGTGCTGGAGGAGGGTGAGTCCTGGCCCCAAACTTGGCCCTCCCTGGGCCCTTTGCCCAGAGACTTCAGTCCTTTGTTAATGGAAGCCCTGGCCACAGGAGTAAACAATTTCTTTCTTTTTTCACTTTTTATTAAAGGGATTGTTTTAGCCATAGCGGAAAATAGAAAAACAAATAGAGAACTGGGGAGGGAGGAGCTGAGCTTCTAGCTTGGAGTGATCGGGGAATCTAGCCATACCAGAGTGTGTCTGTTTTCTGTTTCTGTTGTTAGGGGAGGCAGCACAGACTAGTTGGAGCCAGGAAGGCAGGGCATGGGGTCTCTAGGGGAGAAAGTATATTCTTACAGTAGCTCCCTGAGCTTGGCTGAGGAGCCAAGGCCCTGCACTGTATGCTGGTTCCTGGAGGAAGTGTGTTTTGGTGTTGCCATTCAAGGCTGGGATCAGGGTCAGGGGTTCCCCTGGCTGCTGTGTCAGGCACTGCATGCTTGGGGCCCTGCCGCTTGCTTCCCTGAACCCCTGAATCTGAAACTTCTTCCACAGGCTGTAGGATGAGTATGTTGTCCTAATCTTCACTAGGTCCTCAGAGATGAGTACACCTCAGATGGGAAGATGACAGGGGTGCAGCTGTGTCTTAGGGTTTCTCCTGTAATTCCTGGGGTGGGAGAGCCCCTTCAGGAGAAACTGGGGGTGCTGCTGATATCAGGCTGCATGAATGGTAGAAGCACTAGCCCAAGACCCAGGGTCTCAGGGAGGAATGTGAGCTGCCAGAGATGGTGCCTTCCTGCCCATGGTGCTAGGCAGTGGTTGAGAAAAGAGTGGGGCATTTTCTCCATGAATGCAGTCTCTCCTTGTGTGAGCCTGACTGAAGTAGGCTAGGGAAATTCCACTTAAAGCACTTCCTGGTGAGGCCACTAGGGCATGCTGGAGTGTGAGTTTTACCCCCAGTGGATTTCTGTCTAAAGACTCCTTGAAAAGGACTTCACTTTTCAGATACCAGCAGTCAGGAACTATACCTTGTACACTTCTCTCCCCGTGCTCCCTCACAGTTTTCCCTTCCTTTGTTCCTCTTTTGTTCCTTTTCTTTACATCACATTAGGATGCATGCCCACTCCTTGGTGCCAGTGAATTTGGTCTTAAAAGGGCAGGCATGATGATAATTTCTGTGCGTTTTTATTTACTTTAGAAGTGGGCACCCTAGCAGTAGCGGCACTGCCAAGGGTACTTGTCATTACCTTACTCTGGCAAAGGGTGAGAAAGAGCAGGAGCAGCCAGGAGGGAGATCATCAAGCTTTGTTGGAGCCTTTAGCCTGGACTACAGGCTGAAGGACAGAGGAGGCTTTCTTTTTAATCTAAGCACATCCTCCCCCAGGTAATTCATTAGGGAGCCACCAGAAGTGGTTTCCTGTCTTAAAGGAAGGTCAGAGGGATGGAAAGGTGGAGAGATAGTATAATTCTGTGATGAAGAAAGAATGTGGGCTTTGGTATCTAGCTGACCTGCCTTCCTCTCTAGTTTGGCACCCTGGCAGATGACAGTACCTGACTTAAAGGGCTACAGGGAGGGTTCAATGACATATTGCATTTAAGCACTTAGCAGTGTCTCACACCCAGGTCGTGCTCAATAAGTGCTAGCTATTATTATTACATTATATTATTTTGTGGGGCACTGGGAGAAAAGGACAGTCTACTCTGGATGGATTTCAGATATTTGTGAGGCTGTCTTGGGAGAAGCATGATTTCTGGGACAGCGAGTGCTAGCTATTATTATTACATTATATTATTTTGTGGGGCACTGGGAGAAAAGGACAGTCTCCTCTGGATGGATTTCAGATATTTGTGAGGCTGTCTTGGGAGAAGCATGATTTCTGGGACAGCTAACACCAGGATCCCCCTTACGATTTAAATAAAAAGTTAAAGGGCTAGAATGGGAGGATGTAGAGATAAGTCTCCCAGGGGGGTTTAGATCTCCATTCTTTGGTTGTAGAAAAACCAAGAGGGTTAGAGGGTGTGAAGGAACAGTTGGATTTCAAATGGATAGGGTGTATTTCCTGGGATACCAGATTTCAAGTAGACTATAAAGATAAACTATGATTTACAAAAAATGCTCAACTTCCTCCGCCTGTTCTGGGCTTTCTACACAGGATAGCTCAGTGAATCTTATTATTTCCCCATATTTTTAGGTAATTGGAGTAAACTTGTGTTTGGGAAGGTATTTATAGGAATTTTTGTTTATCCCAAAGATCTTGGTATGTTTTCTTAAGTATGAAAGGGCATGTGGGTGGGGTGGGGATGCAGCTAGAGGTTTGATCTCACTTCTTTATTTCATATTTTTTCTTTTTATTTGTTTCATATCTCACTTCTTGGCCTTGTTACCTTTGAAGTAGCTTGATGCTCAGACTTTGGGCTAATGGTTCAAGTTTAGGGGTGGCCACCCATCTTTTCATATGGGGAAGTGTGCAGAGTTCTCCTCTTAGGACGCCCAGTCACAAGGGCTTAGGGACAGCTCTTACATTTCCTGTAATCTCAGCATGTGAACAAGGCTTTCAAGTCACACTGTGCAACCTTCCTACCTTTCTTAATTGCTTGGGGTAAGATACAAGTGAGGCTGGGGTGGGGCATGGAGGACACAGAGAGAGAGGGCTGTGCATTCCTTCTCTGCCACCACCCTGTCCTCAGCACAGAAGCACCCAGCTGACTGTCCTTTCTTCTGGGCCCCAAGTCCTGGAGCAGAGCTGACAAAGGAGATTCTTGAGAAAGCGCCTTATTATTGCAGGAAGTGCTGAGCCAAGAGCTCCTAGCTGCCCCTTTTGCAGATGTGAAGGGCCAGTGAACCTTGGACCCAGACAATTGCTTAACACTCCTGTCCTCTCCCCTCACTCCCTCAGCCCTCTTGACTTCAATTCATAGGCATTTGTCTGGCATTCCCTTTCACTGCTGGCTGAAGAGGAGAAGCAGTTGGACCGCCCTTCCTGGAGGACAAGTATCTCCAACTGCTGCTGGCCACTGCCTTGGGAACCTGCTTATATCCAGGGCCAGGGAGTGAGTGTGTGTCCCACCCTCTCTCCTCATCCCCTCTCACCTTGCTAGTCCTCTCACCCCCAACCCCCCTTTGCTCCGCTGCAGTGTCCAATCACTTCTTCTCCTGAGTGCCTGTTGCCCTAGTATCTCTTCACTTGCTTGACTAGCCTCTCCTGTTTTCCTCTCAGCTGTCCCCTGCTCTGTATTTCCTGGCATCTGCTGCTGGGCTTCAGCTGTTTCCTTGCCTTGGCTTTGGGTGGTATCTCTCCAGCAGCTATTCCAGAATGGGGAGTGGTCTTCAGCTGCCTCCCATCATCTCTAGGTTCTGCTGTACATTTGGATCACCCTTCTCTAATTCATACTTTTTTGGGTGATGCAGCTATGCTGCCGTGAGGGGATTGATGGTAGGAGGCCTGAAATACTAGAAACTGGGAAAGGTATCTGGAAAGGAAAAGCCACAAAAAGAGAGGAATAACCTGTCTTCTTTCAGGGTGGGGTGGGACTGCTTGAGCTTTGCCGGGACTGAAGATTCCAGGTGAGAGCTGTTAAGGAATACTACCCAAAGCTCCTTGAGCAGGGGGATGGTTGTGGGTTTCCAGCAGATTTATTTTTTAAACTAATTAATTGATTTATATTTATTTATTTATTTTTAAAAGATGACTGGTAAGGGGATCTTTTTTTTTTAATTTTCTTTTTTTTTTGAGAGCATGGTGCTGACAACACCAAGTCAAGGGTTAAGATCCCCTTACCAAGAGGGAGGATGGAGGGAGGTTTCAGTGATGGGTCATAATAATCAACCACATTGTATATTTACAAAATTAAAAAATAAATAAAAATAAATAAATAAATAAAATAGGTATTGGTGGCATCGCATTGTTTTAATTTGCAATTTCCTAATGACATAAAATGTTGAAAATCTCTTCATATGTTTATTTATTTTTAAATTTTGTCAATATACAATGTGGTTGATTATTATGACCCATCACTGAAACCTCCCTCCATCCTCCCTCTTGGTAAGGGGATCTTAACCCTTGACTTGGTGTTGTCAGCACCATGCTCTCCCAAGTGAGCTAACTGGCCATCTCTATATAGGGATACAAACCTGTGGCCTTGGTGTTATCAGCACCACACTCTCCCAAGTGAGCCACGGGTCTTCCCTCAGCAGAAGATTTCCAAAGCCTTTAGGTTTACCAGAGCTAGAGTCTTTGGGGGAAGAAGCAGCAGTGTGAGAAGATCCCACAGATTAGTTGCTTGAAAGGTTGGTTCCTAATGTTGCATCTCAGCACAGGTGACAGGTGAAACTGAAATTGGAGGAAAGACAGACTTCTTTTGGGTAAGGCTGAACACTCAGGCTCAAACCACTATACCTGAGAGCTGCCAGACTATCTCCATGCCTGTCTTGTATCACAGCAAGCTCAGATAGAACAGGATTTAGTAGGTTAGGTGGGCAGCACTGTCCTAATGATGAGAAACAGATGCTTTCTCTCGGGGAATGAGTGCCTTCCCACAAAAGTTCAAATTGGGGTCGTTTTGATGAGGCAGGTAGAGAAGAAGAGGTTATATGGATGTGGGAATTAAGGGAGAGATCTCTAAAGTGGTGGGTGGGTGGGTGGGATGCCCATACTGGCCCCTGTGTGTGGGGGAGAGGGTTTTTATGTAATTGCTAGCCACCCAATGTGTATCATCCTCTTTCTTCCTTAGAGGGCAATGCCAGGAGGCTGGTGAAGGCTTTCCTCTCCTCCACCATGGTTGACAGCATTAAGTACGAAGTGGCCTCCCAGAATGAGGTGGATGCTTCCCCTTTGGGCAATGGGGCCAGTCCAGGATCTGAGCAAGTAAAGCTGAAGAAAGAGATCTCGCTGCTTAATGGCGTGTGCCTGATTGTGGGGAACATGATTGGCTCAGGCATCTTTGTCTCTCCCAAGGGCGTGCTTATGTACAGTGCCTCCTTTGGCCTCTCCCTGGTCATCTGGGCTGTTGGGGGTCTTTTCTCTGTCTTTGGTGCTCTTTGTTATGCGGAATTGGGCACCACCATTAAGAAATCTGGGGCCAGCTATGCCTACATCCTGGAGGCCTTTGGGGGACTCCTTGCCTTCATTCGACTCTGGACCTCCCTGCTGATCATTGAGCCTACCAGCCAGGCCATCATTGCCATCACCTTTGCCAACTACATGGTGCAGCCCTTCTTCCCAAGCTGCTTTGCTCCCTATGCTGCTGGCCGCCTGCTGGCTGCTGCCTGCATCTGTAAGTGGGGCTGGGGCAGGAGGTGGTGGGGTGGAGGCCTGGGCAGAGGCTGGGATTTGAGTCCAGTCAGGGAATAAGAATGGGATGGAAAAGAATGCTTCTGACAACAGCTATTTTTTTTGGTTATATTAATGTATGCTTTGTGTGAAAATTCAAACAGTACCACAGTGTTTAAAAACACACACAAAAAACAACAAAACCTCCCCAACTCACCTTTCCCCCAACTTCCCATGGTAAGCACCATTAGCAGTTTACATGTTCTTACTGATTTTTTTTTTTCTTACTCCTTCAAGAGATGTAGTTTTGTTCAGTCTTTTGCAAAAATGGGATCATACCATTCTACATATAATTCTACAGTGTGCTCCTCCCCGCAGGATTTGTAAGTGATATTCTTTTCTACTTACAGATCTACTTTTTTTTTTTTTCCTTCCTTTTTTTGTCTTTTTTCGTGACCGGCAACGGATCGCAACCCTCAGTGTTGCTCCCGTACCGGACCGGGACCGGCAACGGGATCGCAACCCTCGGTGTTGCTCCCGCACCTCGCTCAGCCAGTGAGCGGCTGGTCTGTATGTGGGATCCGAACCCTCGGCGGGA